GAATAATAAATAATATTTTTAGGGTAAAACAAGCCTCATAACTCATCACTTCTCTGATTCTATGTGACCCTTCTAGCATGCCCAGCTCAGGACTCTCCCTAAACTGTCCACGATAAAACTATTGTACCACCATAACTTTGCACAGAGGTGAATTCTAGAGTGGAGGCTCTTGATCAGTTTCGATTCTAGCCCTGTTTTCACATACAATATGTACGTTTTTAAAAAATTCATTGGTTAGGATTAAAATTTCTATGCTGGGTCTTTCTGAAGGTGAATCTGTTTTGAAAATTTGAGCAACCCCTCCTGCTGTTTTTGAGTTCCGAAGATTAAAACCATTCTAGCCACACTTCTTTTGTACAGAGCTGTGTTAAAAATGACAGCAGCGTGAAAGCTGAAACTTGGCACTGGGCATAGTTCTCAGTGAGGGCAAGGTTTGAAAAACATGAATCTGAACAAAGTCATGCCTATTTCCAACTGCATTTGGAGTGTAAGCAGGACAAAATGTCATTAGGTAGAGAGGCACTTGATTCCGGAAAGACATGTGTGGAATCGCCACTTTGCATAAGGTTCTGAGCTGTGACTGCCACCCCTTAAAGGGATACAGCCAACTTAAAATCACGCTTCTATCAGACAGTTTTTTACCTAGTTTTATGACAAACACCACCTAAGATTACTACAACTCAAAGCTATAGGGAAAAATCACTCTCTCTCTCTTTTCAGTTTATTTTCTGCATTTGACAGCACTTGGAATATAGACCAGCGTTTCTCAAATGGGCGTCCGCGAGGGCACTCTAGATCCCTGCTGATCAACTCCACCCCCTTCCTCCCTCCCAGCGCCTCCAGCACGCCGGGGAATAGCTCTTCAGCGGGCGGCGTGCAGTAGGCGCTGGGATGGAGTGGGAGGAATGGGGACAGGGTGTGCTCATGGGAGGGGGTGGAATCATATCCAGGGCCACTAACCCCGCTTATCAACCCCTTCTCCTCCCTCCCAGTGCCTCCTGCATGCCGGGGAACAGCTGTTCAGCGGCATGCAGGAGGTGCTGGGAAGGAGGGGGAGAAGCGGGGATGGGGTGCTCGGGGGCGGAAAGAGGTGGAGAAGAGGAGGGGCAGGGAGGAGTGGGGGCGGGAAGAGGTGGGGTGGGGGTGGAGATTTGGGGGAAGAGGTGGAGAGGGGGCAGGGCCTGGGGCTGAGCGGGGGTCTTGGGGGTCCACGAAAAATTTATCTTAAAATGGAGGTCCTCGGGTTGCTAAAGTTTGAGAACCGCTGATATAGACAATCGCTCTTCCTGTTTGTAAGGGTAAGACATTGTGATTGTAAAACCAATGAAGTGTCTGAAATTAATTTAAACTCAGTAGCGTAGCTAGCGGGGTGCAGGGGAAGCAGCCGCTTCCCCCTCGCCCCTTTTCCCAAAAGCGGCGCCTTTCCAAGGGCGGCCGCCGGCCGGAGGAGCGAGGGGGGAGCGCAGGCTGGCCGCCCGCAGCGCGGCCGGCAGCCATGGGGGGGTGGCGGGTGCGTGGCCGGAGCAGCAGGGGAGCGCAGCATGCGGCCCGGCCCCGCAGCTGGAGGAGCGAGGGGGGGGCGCAGGCTGGTGAAGCGGGGGGCGGGGGGCGCAGCATGGTGGCCGGAGGAGGGGCGGTCAGTGGTGCAGCCGGAGGAGGAGCCAAGGGGGGGCGTGGCCAGAGGAGGAGCCAAGGGGGGGCTCCTTTTTTAGGTTTGCTCCCCCTCCTCTTAAAAGCTGGCTACGCCACTGTTTAAACTTATTTGCTGAAACTGACTAGATTTCAAGTTGATATGTCCCTTTAAGCTGGGTTCTCCCAATGCACCAACCCTTCTATTCTCCAGTATTGTGTTTATTTGAATACTTGGAATAAATGGCTGACAGTAAATTTACTGAAGTAGCAGAGAAGCCAATGTATGGCCCAGTGAGATCTACAAAAAGAACCAGAGCTGCCTTTCGCCTCTCCTCTTCAGTGTGAAGAAGTACCATGACCACCACCCTCTTCCTGAGAACTACTGATCTCAGTAGACAATATGATGCAGGGATCTCATTTAAGTGGCTTTGATTGAAGCAGAGCAATGCATGCTGGAACTTGTAGTTTTTTTTCAGGCTGCACCATTGTATTAAGATGAGGGCAGCTGCAACCTGCTCCACTTCCTGCAAATTAGGCACCGCATTCAGATTTATTTAATACAAATCACTAACGTGGCCTTTGGTTGGTCTAAGTTTGGTTACTGCTGTTTCAGATCCTTGTTGCCTCAGAAACCATGAATTCCAAAGCAGCGGGACTATCTAGTGAAGTAATATGCTGTTAACACTTTAGTAAGAGCTCCCCTCGCCCAAACTTCCTCTCTGATAAACATGATATTCCAGGGTATGTGTACTGCAGACAGGAGGGAAGAACAACTGGGGAATCTCTTCATTTGTTTTCATATTCAAACTACAACGAGTTTCAATAACTGTAGTAGAGAGAGAGCCTGGAGCACTGGGCCTAGTGCAAGACCTGAGGCCTGAACCAGAGGCTGTAAACCAAAGTCAGGCAATGTATTAAACCAGACGATTACAAGTTCACTGCCCAGGACACTGCCCAGAGTTGTTGCTATATAGTAGGCATTAAATATTTATCCAGCTAGTACAAATACCACACTGAGTAGTACTATCAAGGTCTGCTAAACAGGTGTCCGGTTTTTGACTGGAACACCCAGTCGAAAAGGGATCCTGGTGGCTCTGGTCAGCACCGCTGATTGGGCTGTTGACTGTCCTATTGGTGGTGCTGCACAGCGGGACTGGCAGGCTCCCTGCTAGCCTCTGCGCCACACAGCTCCTGGGAAGCAGCCGGCATGTCCCCACTCTGGCTCCTATGCATATGGGGAAGCCAGGGGGCTCTGGTAAGTGTGGCCAATGGGAGCCGCAGGGGCGGCGCCTACAGACAGGGCAGCGCGCAGAGTCACCTGGCCGTGCCTCTGCGTAGAAGCCAGAGGTGGGACATGCCGCTGCTTCTGGGACCTGCTTAAGGTAAGTGCTGCCCAGAGCCTGCACCCCTGCCCCCCTCCCACACCCCAACCCCCTGCCCCAGCCCTGATCCGCCTCCCGCCCTCTGAACCCCTCGGTCCCAGCCCAGAGCACCCTCCTGCACCCCAAACCCCTCATCCCCAGCCCCACCCCAGAGCCCGCACCCCCAACCAGAGCCCTCCCCCTCTCCCTC